CGGGCCACAAAGGCGCGGGCGGCTTTTGCCGTTGGTGACTGTTAAAACCGTCAACGGGAAGAAATTTTGACCGCAGGGTTTAACTCTGACTTTGTTCTAATGGTGACAGTCGGCAGCTCTTGCCCGCTGAGCAGCGTGGTGTGTGTCCGTGGGACCGAAGCGATGCGGGGCTGCGTAAGCTCTGCGGAGTTCACTTCTGCGCCGCGGGCCCGTGACTTCAGCAGGCTAACGTGCGCGGCTTCTCCTGTTCTTTCTTCTCCCAGAACCGATCTACGTCCCATTCCTCATCGTTGGATCGATATTTATCGCCTTCATCATCGTGGGCTCTCTGGTGGCCGTTTATTGCTGCACGTGTTTAAGACCTAAACAACCGTCGCAGCCAACACGATTTTCTCTGCGGAGCTGTCAGGCCGAGACTCTCCCCATGATCCTGGCCTCCACAAGCTTCAGGACGCCGTCGAGGCAGTCCAGTACCGCCACGAGTTCCAGTTCGACCAGCAGCTCCTCAGTTCGCAGGTTCTCCTTCCCCCGGGCAGAGCCAGGGTGCCTCGTGGCATCGCCACCTCCACCGTACACGTCCAGCTGCTTCCCGACAGCCCACACCGTCCACCCAGCCCAGCCGTCGGGGTTCCTGGTGTCGCCGCCGTACTTTGGGTATCCTCTCCAGACGGAGCCTGCCCCGGCTGGGAAGAGCTGCTCCGATTTTGGTCAGAGCTGAAAGGAGCTGTCGGGACAGAACGTAGCCTTTGGAAGCGCAGGGACTGCTGCTGCCGGGTATCGCACACCGGGGCTGCAGAAGCCAGAACCGTTCCCGTGGGTGAGTAGCCCTTGGAAAGTGCGAGGTCTCATTTGGGATCTGATTTCCCGAGCTTGGATCACACTTACAAATGAATTGTAAAATATTCCAAACGTAGTTGCTCTAAAAACTGACTACTCGGCAGTCTAATTCGTGCAGAGTGTGTCTAGAGATGAGTAGAAAAACCATTTTGGCATAAACTTACTCATTTCACCGCGCTATAAAGGACATTTTAACCCTAACTGCTATTAATTTAGTTAACAAATGGTGGCTGCGTTCCATTGATAATAATCAGACTAGTTCTGTAAAGCAGCAATAAGCCTGAGAAGTGAGAGAGGAGCAGTACTTACTGAAGAGGACCCTGAAAACAGCTGACTGCTTCCCACGTCCACGAGCAATGAAAATAACAGGAAGAATTTTACTATAGGTATCAAAATATGTGGGGTTTTTAAAATACACATAATATACCTAAACTTACACTTCCTATTTGTGTTAGTAAACTTTAACTACGCTAGATAAAACCAGTACTAATTAGGCTAGTTGAAAACGTGCCAGTCCCAAGCGGCCGAATAACTATACATGCAAAAAGCAGAATGTATTCAGTGATATCACTAACAACTTCTCTGCATAAAATTCAAAAAAAGGCATTATATTAGAGCATGTGTCAGAAGGAAGTATTTATTGTTGGCTTTTTGCTCAGCAGCGTGTAAGCTGGACAAACTGATCATAAAATTCTACTTGTAAAATTAGCCGTGTATAAAATGTAAAGACAAGCTTGTAATTTAAAATGTATTTACAGCATTGACAACGCTAATTATTTAGTAGTCACACCAAAAAAACTTTATCAATAAACTGTGTGGTTGAAATGTTGTGTCATCTGTATGTCTCTGTGCAGGCAGTGTTCGACGAGCAAGTTTTCATTTTGATGGTGTAACCATACTGTGTGTTTTTCCTGTTAAAATAGTTAATTTTGCTTTTGTAAATGATTTACATCTTTGACTGCACCTGTTGTGCAGATTTAATATAATATAAAATTCTGAATATATAGTGAACTCATAGATAGATGAATGTCTTTTATCTGCAACTGTGGTAAAAATGTGGTAAAAACCACACTGATTAGTTGGGTATTTTAATTTAAAACATCCTGCCCTAGGAATAAATTTTGTTTGCCCTTCTACATTCCTTCATCCAAGTAAACCAAGAAACCAAATGGAAGAAGAAAAAAAACGCATCTAAAGCAAACACATGCAGCAAGCAAAAGGAAAATACACAAGAAAAAATACAGTCATTAGAGGGCTTCCCTGTGTACTTATTTTTGTGAAGAAACACAGTCATTCTGTGTGTCAGAATCTACAGTACCAGAGGCTGAACTTTCCTGTTTTATCAGCCCCCAACTCCCCGTGTTCAGGATCTGCTGAAGTACATCATAGCCACGCTATATTAAAATTACAGCACTTCTGAATTACAGCATACTTCTATCTCAGAAAAGCTTCACTGGTTCTTCCTCAAGAGTGTAATACATTTTTTTTTCTTAGCAAATGAGTATCTCAGCATTTATGAAAAAAGTAGTTTGAAATAACCCTTTTAATATGTTTTTTATTGCATAATTAACATTACAGTCCAATAGATGTTCCTGCTGGAAACGTGGTTTCTAAGCAGAAAGACAGCTGAAGTTGTATACAATGATGTTTTAAGTAATAGCTTTTAGCTTCGATGTTGTAATTGTTAATGACAAACTAAAATCGTGGTACACAGTAGGGTATACATTTTATAAAAATCTAAAAAGTAGGTTTTGAGTACTTCAGAAATTAATTGAAATGTGTTTTTGGCTTGCAATTTTTTTTAGAAACAATCTTCAAGGAAGGGGGTGGGTAAACTTGTGCCCACCTTTGTTGATGTTTCATAGGACTTTCTTCACTGCACATTTTGAAAGGCTAAGGAATACGAGACTGTTCATCAAGTAACTTTTGTTTTGAAAAATCATTTAATATTGCAATAGATATGAGCTCTGCTGTTTGGAAGCATCCTGCGAGATCTGCTGATCATTCCTGTACACAGCAGAGGCAGACAGTAAAACAATTTAACTGTATATTTTACAGACTGTAATAAGTCTTCAATCAGTGGAAGTCTTTACCTAGTAAACCAAAGCAACACAGATCCTTCTGGAGCAGAAACTCCATCAATTTTATCTAAGAAAGTGCAATTTTATGTACCTTTAAAGAGTGATTAGTCATCAGAGCCACTGACACAGGTGGTGGGTAGCTGAAATTCAGAGTTTTCTTGGAAGACAGGCTGTGAGTTGGACACTCAGGGGGCTCTGCAGGTGGGTTTAATAACGTTTTAACACAGGGACAGACTTTCGCTGCGCTTGCGTACAGTTGTACCGACCTTCATGGTCATTCAGCCTAAGCAGAGGCTGTGCCACTTGCCACGTAGCGTGAGACCCAGCCTGGCTGGGAAGACCCCACCGAGCTCCCTCCTCCACTCCCCTGATGCTGCAGAACATGTTGGACCTCGTAAAATGCCTGAAGGTCTTGACACACAGGAACAATTTCATTGAATCAGACTTACAGAAGTCTTTAAGTTTACGGAGTGCTAAGCACTTCACAGATCGGTAGCCAGAGCATAAGAAATCCTGCAGACGGGCGTCTAAGGCTGGGGAAGATAGGACGTGGTTAAAAACAGCTGTACTGGGTTACCTATAAAGCAGGCAAGGTGGGATCATGCACCATCTGCAAACAGTTGGACAGAGAAGAACCTAAGTTAAGAAGAACCTGTAAATTATTGTTCATGTAGCTATGGTGGCAGTGACCTATATAGCTGACGGGAGAAGAGAGGGAGGTGGCCAGGATGCAAGCCCACAGACCGAAACGCTTGGTGCCCGTGCCAGCGGTTTCCAACCCAGATAGATTCAGGGCACAGGTGAGAACACTGAATTTCCTTCCTGACGGAAAGGACCTGCTGGCACCAGATGCCTCTGATTTATAGGAAACTGTAACTTTCCTAAAGCTTGCAGACAGAACACAAATGGCATTCTGATAGTTTTGATGACTACTGAAACAGTTTGAAGGGCTAGGTGCATACTTCAGCTAAAAGCAATTCCTTGCTCTTAGAAGTAACATTTACACAGTGCTTGCTTTACTGCCATGCTTATTATTTTAACAAAGAAGGTTTAGCTATTTCTTTGGTAATACTGGAGTTAGTTTATACTCTTTTTACTAGAGTGACACCAATCAAACAAAATGAAAGACGACCTGCACTCATTAAACTGATTGTCATTACACACATTATGCACAAAATGCTTCGATTGCCATTAACTGGTAACGGCACGTCCGAAACCCAGGCCTTCAGTGGGCAGAAAGCAATAGTGACATGAATTAGATCAGCCATTTGTTTTGTGTTTCTACACTTTGGGTTTCCTAAGCGTGTATCTCCAAGAGGCATCAGAACTCTTCAGTGTGAGGAAAAACGTTACATGAACTTGCACAAACGTATGAAGGATTTGATCTGAAACCAGGTAAGCAGTACAGTATACGGCTACGTAAACTCATGGATTATTTGTAATACTCATCCCACTGGAATTTAAAGAAAGAAAAGTGACAATTTCAAAGTTATTTTGTCACTCCTATTCAGGTACAGCTTGGCAGTAGCATTAAGGAGATGGAGTGAACTTTTGGCCCTGTTTTTCTACATAATGTGATGTTCCGCGTGGACTTGGTGCTCTGAGGAGAGCTCCTGCTGTTGAGGGGGCTGCTGCTCCACAGCACCCACATCAAGAGTTTCTGATCTGCAGCCGGATCGAGGCTGTAATTCCACACCACGCTGTATTCATTAGCAAAGGCAGAGGAAGAAATGCCTTTCTGTTCTTTTCTCCATCTACGACTTCAGTGGGCTGCAGTGTCAATCAGGCGAGTGAAATGATCTAGCTTAAAAATAACGTTTGCCATAGGAAAGAAGGGAATGGATTTGAAAGGGAGCCTGGATCATTATAAACTGGATCTTAACCTGAATAATTTCAACGGCCTCATGAATGCCAGCGTTAATAGAGGCGGTGACCTACTGTGATGTGGAATCTCCTTAAACCAGCTCTGCCGTTAAAGACTGGGTATCATGAAACTAACGGCGTGAAAGATGCATCTGTTATCGAACCTGCCTTGACAGAATACAATGTCTACAAAATAAATTCATTGGCTAGTGTGTATATAAAACAATCAGTCACCTATCTACATCCAAAACTTAGTTTAGGTTTGGATATATTGATTTTTATTCGGTGGGTGGGCACTGTTAGGGGGAAAAATTACCCACTACCATCACAGCCAAAGGATACAGTATTTACCACTGTAAATGGCAATTTACAGTGATATATAAATTACCATTTGAGAATGAGAAGTCGAGTCTCCTTGTTCGCACTCTATCATTCCTGTACTGCCTACTTCTCTTTCAAAATACAGTATCACCACCAGAGCATGTCAGGGCTCTGCTGCTTCTTTTTTTTTTTTTTTTTTTAAAAATACTTCTTCTGGACTTCACATGAGAACTGAAAAAGACATCGCAAAATAGGTGTTTAAAAAAAAAATCTAAAACAATTTTCTAATTTTGCAGTTTACATTAATAACGTAAGAACTCTTTGGTATTTGTGAAATGCTATTTCTGATATGTCCCATTTTAAAGAACTCAAAAGTAATGAGACACGTTTTCCTCTGAAAGTAATCGCTGGCATTTGCAACCAATCAATTCAACAAACTTCTTCATTTAATGGCAAAGTTTATTCATTTTTTAACAATTAAAAGACAAAACATTTAAAATTTGCAGTTCAAAACATGCACATTCACCAAATGCCAAATGACATGTAACACTGCATAGAACTGAATGTGTTACTAAAAGAGAAGAACTATTTATAAAACACAGTGCATTTAACATCC